CAAGGCATGGCACTAGGCTGCAGTGGTTGTGTGGTGAGCTCCAAACTTTGCAAAACCAGACACTTTGCACAGGATTGGATTATGTTTTCAGCCTTTATTACCTGTCCTTGTCATGATCTTGTCCTGGGAGGTAAAGGAGATTTGGGGTTTTAGCAAGAGTGATCCTGGATGTCCCCAAAGCAGCCAGGTCTGTAGGAGGTGATGACCACAACCAATTTGCCACGAGCAGCAAAGCTCTGTGCAGGCTCCCAAAAGAAAGAATTGCACCATCCCTTSCCTTGGGGACAGCAGAGTGACTCAGAACAGCCCTGACATTGCTCAGCCTGAGATCGAGGGTGGGAAGGGAAGAGCCCTCGCAAATACCGAGTTTACAAATAACAGTAAATTACTGATTCTGATACTTGCTGCCACGAGCTCAGAGGGTGCTGCTTTTCCTCTGCCTACAGTCCTGTTTCTCCCCTTGGAAAGCCCTTACAGGCCAATGTGTGCTCTCTGGAGAGTGGTATCTTCTCAAGTTAGGTGTTCTTAATTCATCCTGCCTAATATTGCATCTTCTTAAAGCACCTAACTTTAAATAAGTGCTTGATTTTAGACTGTATGGACAAACGGCACCCTGTTTGCCTAAGTTATGCAGAAGAAAGATGCTGTCAAAGTGGAAGGCTTAGCCGTTTTTAAGAAAAAAAAAAGAATAAGAAGGAGGAGTTTTAACATACTTCAGAAAATCATTTGTTTTGCAGGTGAGTAATCACGAATCTCAGAAGATTGAAATGATCCATTCTCAGTAGCAGGGTTAGGTAGGAAGGGAATCTGATTTAGCTGTGASCCTACTGTCTCTCAGCATTACACCACTCACCAGTAAAGCGATCACAGAACCACTCTTCCTTCCTTTCTCGTGCTTTGTGTGCCCTCTGAAATGGCAAAACATCTTCTTGCTATGGATGCCAGTGAAATAAATCTAAAATTTTTTGTGTGTCTTTTTTTAAATGTGATGGACCATTTAGCTTGGTGTGTTTGGGTCTCAATACCTCATGCACACATAAAAATATTCCAGGCCTTGGAGGGTCAATTGAAAAGGAATTTCCCAAATGTGCTTTTTAACAGAAAATTGGTCTTCCTATTTTGGTGCCTTTTTGTCTGCTGCATCTGTATGTAAAGATATTTTATGAGCTGAGAGGAATGAACCAAAGACCAGACAAAGATCATAGCCAGGRGCTAATCTCCATATTATAAAAATATTTGATAAGTAAACTTGGSTGCATCAATAAGRATTTCTAACCTAAATTTTTGCAGGRAATCCTGCACCTCACTYCTCTCYGGTGGAAGCACCAGCACCACRCTGCTCTGAAGAGGATGTACTGGARTAAGGATCCCAGCAGTAAAATAGGAGAAGAGACCTGTAACTCAGTGACTGACATCAAGAACAGATCTCATCTGTCAAATGACTGAATTGAGAGGCTTTTATGAACATCTCTCCTAGGACAAAGTACATTATATGTGCAAAATGAATGGATGCAACCTGGTAGTGCACCATTTCCCTAACAATTTCATTAAAGAAGTTGTTTCTCATTCTTTCTTTCTTTTTTTCATCCCCTTGGCAGTTTTCTTTCACCTCCTGACCTGAGAGAAAAAAAAAATTGGATTCTCCAAAATACTTGTGCTAAATTTTGCATCTCATTATGTGTAGAATTATCTATTTAGTCACAACTTCAGATGTTCTCAGAGCCATTGAACACAATTCAAAAATCATTAAAAATAGTAGCGTTACAGAGACATTATAGAGCCAGAATGTTTGGGAATGTACAAAACTCTTGGAGTGATGAGGGAGAACTGAGGTTCCCAAGGCTGGAAGCAGACACACATGGGACAGAAGACCATCCCATCTCTTGGATAACTTGGAGTTTGCAAGGATTGGGCAAGGTAATTTATTACAAATGCTCTGTCCTCATGTGACAAAACTCCTGTAACTTCGGGATTGATGACATTTGTGCACTCCCTGCAAGCCTCACCAGGTAGGCTTGAGAAATTGTCCTCCTGCCTCAGTTTCCTTCCCCCTCTGGCATAATAAAAAAAAGCTGAGCTTTGTTTGCAACCACCAACATAACATTTAGAGCCATCAATCTAGATTTGTTTTTTAAAAGAAACACTGCATAAAATGTTATGAACCTGAAGGATTTTTGAGGGATGCAGCTGGCTGGTGCAGCTACGGTGCATCCAGTAGAACACCCCAAGCTACCCCAAGCTGCTGAACATTCCCCTGGTTATGCATMAGGACCAAGGATTTGACCCCCTGGGCTACTCTGGAGCTGCAGAATGTTCACTTGTGGCAGATGTTGAAGTGTTTTCTTTCCCTGCTGCTACGAGCGCTGCAAAGAGATAAAGAGCAAAGGAAACAGAGATGAGCTGATGGGCTTCCTCCTCCTCTGTGACACAACCAAAGTTAATTTATCGAGAGGAACTGCTGCAGATTTCATGAGATACATAAAGCTTTAAGCCTGAGTAATCACCATTGCCAAACTAGTCTGCTCTATGGATAAAATGTCCTTTCCATGCCCACTGAGTGGGAAATAGTCCATCAGAGGTGTTTTCACACCCAAAAGCTTTTTTTGCATGCTGCCTCTAGATGACCCTTTATAAATCCCACCAAATCCTAGCTGGCTTCCCACCACGTTGCTAATAGCTTGATCTGTGACCTGCTAATGAGGTAGATATTGTTTCACCTCCAGTAAAGGCATTAGGATGTCTACTCAGTCCTGCAGCACCCCGGAGATTACAGTTGCTTGCGCCAGGAGGAAAAGGAATTTCCAAGGCATAAGGCATCATTTAGAGTTATTAACAAAGGGATTTATTATGTTGCTCTGTTTCAAAAGGCAGTGTACACGATGCCTAGAGCATGCCAGAGTGCAGCTACCTACCACATAATGTCCTAATGAATCACCACGTGCTGCAGGAGCTGTAGAACCTCAACATTCAATCTCCCATTTCTCCCCCCACGCACCRAATTGACAAATAAGGCCATAATGGCTTTGCACTTTTATCAGGTAAAAGTGATCTCAGGAAGATGAATACATTGAAACCGCATTGAGAAGAATGTGGGGTGGGGGGAAATCCACATTTGGGAAAAAAAAAAAAAATAGAAAAAAAATTAGTCTGGGTGCAGCGAAACAGCTTTAATGCAAAGTTAAATGTTAACCCTTATCCCCACAGGCGTGGGGGGGCTGYGTCTGTGCCCAGACAGTCAATGGGATCTTTAACCATGACTTCAGGGCTTGCAGAGTCAAGTCCTACTGTAAAAAGAACCTTGCTTTCCAGAGCTGGGAAGATGAGGCTGACTAAAGGCTATTGAATCCTGCCTGTCCACGCTTGCCCTCTCTGTAATTTATTGTAATTGAAGGCCAAAGGCTCTCTGCTCTAAAACAAGCAGTTAAGAAATAATTACTGGACCAGGGTTCTGTGAGTTTTAATTAAGCAATGTTTAGAGTACATATGGAGTTCTCCAGGTGGCAGGAGAGACAAATTATTATTTATTTGCTTTTGCTCATTTTATTTGCATTTTCAGGCTTAAAGGCTAAAAGAACTATGTTATTTTTTTAGTAAAGGTGCTATAAATTTTCTTATATATTTCATATGGAAGCAGACTCAATTAATATTTATTTGTCTGTGGTTAATAGCTCAAATAATCTCTGAAATACCACAGTCCTCTCTGCGTTTTGGGAGAGGAGGAAAAAAGAATCCCAAATATATCATTAAGCTTTGTTTGATAACTGAGGAATTGCTGGCATTTTTCACTACTCTGCTTTGATTTCAAATTCACACTAACATCTTTTTTAGGGACAAATTTTTCCCTTGAAAAACCTTCTTTCACCCTCATGAAAGTAAGTTGCCTTATCTTGGAAGAGATCCAGCCTTTAAATGGACTGAGAAAAWRGGTCATGTCTCTGCACAGAGTCCCCCATCCTCTTCCTCCCTCTCTCCTCCCTCCCCCAGCCTTGCCCTGAGTTCAACAGTGGGGTTGAAACAAGTCTTGCCCCCAATCCCCTTGATGATTGCATTATTTCTCCTGTTCCCATTTATCTATATCCTTCCAGCTGATGAGCCTTAGGAGTGTGGACTTGTATCTTTTTGGGAAATTATTGATTCCTTTTGATAGTTTGCTAGGGAGAAGGCTGATGGCATCAAAARCAATGATTTTTAGGACCATTTGGCATCTCAAAAGAAAGAGTTTCTATGAAGGAAGTCACACAGGTACCTTTTATTTTTAAAGCAAAGTATGGGTCAAATTCTGCTTCCACTGAACTCTGTGGCACAGGTCCCACAGCTTGTGCTAAGAGGAAACCTGGGCCCAGGGGATGATGAAGCCAGTGATTATACAGCACATTATGCTAAAGAAAAATTAAATCAAATGCAGCTGCTTTTATATAATTCAAAGACAGAACTCAGTGTTTCCTTCAATTATTTTTGGTTTCTTTTCCCCTCTCCCCTCTCTGCACATTGATTTCTTGCCTACAAAGAAAAGCTTCAAAGCGTATAAGCGAATCCAACCCTTTTATTTAAGTTTTGCTTTTTTACTCCCTTTTTTATCTATTAAAAAAAATTAAAATAATTTTCTTCTACTTGACTGTGATGCAAAAATTCCTATTTTTTAGTTCCTTTGGTGATGCCTTCATGATGTTAGGGGACTCAGAACTACTTTAAAGGGGGACAAGTTGTTGTCTCAACCTCAGCTTGAGAGAAGTTCCACCGTTCTCTTCAGTCACACAAGTATTTCAATGTCTATTCAGAAAGGATACTTTTCAAACTCGAATCTACTGGAGCCTAACCTACCTAAAAAAGTAGATCAGAAACCCCCAGTGGGCTTGATAAAAACTCCATAAAACAAGCTGGAAATTCAGTTGTTTCTACTAAGTGGAAAAAATTCACCGAGTTAAGAAAACAGAGTTTTAATGCAGACATATGGCAAAATGCACAATATTATATCTCTTCTTAAACAGAAGTCTTTAGCTGGAAAAAAATTGAGTTTTCATCGAGTCATTGACATGATTCCACAGTTAAGGGCATTTTCTCATTGCTGTTCAGGTGCTGATTCATCGAACTTGTGGAGCCCGCATGAAACCTGAGCTTGTTTGTGGTTCCACKGAGTTCAACAGGGGCAAAATCACACCAACAAAGTGATGTGAGTGCCTTTCYGAATCAGGGCCCTATGCCTGTGAAAAAACTTTCATTAGCAAGATCTATCACCAAATAATTTCTACTAGAAGGCAATATTTGCCTTGTTTTACTAAGTCAGTTGATGTTTGCTTCTACGTTTGTATATAAGCAGACATCATTATTAGAAAGGTCCGTGTTATGTTATTGTGGAAATAACATTGCTGATATAATCCTGATAAATATTMAGATTTGTGCAGCTCTTTGCCTTTACATCCCTCAAAGAAAACCAATTGCAATCACATAAACAAATTCCCCACAAGTCTACAAGAATGTCTCTGTAACTCTACTATTTTAATGATTTTTGAATTGTGTTCAATGGCTCTGAGAGCATCTGAAGTTGTGACTAAATAGATAATTTGACACATAATGAGATGCACAATTTAGCACACGTATTTTGGAGAATCCAGTTTTTTTTTCTTTTTTTTCAGGTCAGGAGGTGAAAGAAAACTGCCAAGGGGATGAAAAAAAGAAAGAATGAGAAACAACTTTTTAATGAAATTGTTAGGGAAATGGCACACTACCAGGTTGCATACATTCATTTTGCACATATAATGTACTTTGTCCTAGGAGAGATGTTCATAAAAGCCTCTCAATTCAGTCATTTGACAGATGAGATCTGTTCTTRATGTCAGTCACTGAGTTACAGGTCTCTTCTCCTATTTTGCTGCTGGGATTCTTATTCCGTTTATCTTTGTGCCCACAC